GTGGGGTTTTCGCTAGTTTCTCCATACCGGGCGCTTCCCCGGGTGGCGGATAGGGGCATCCTCTTAAAATAAGAGGTGACGATGGGCAGTTGGGGTTGATCTCTCTGGTGGTGGTCGGGGGCGTGGATCGGGGGGCGTGTGTGGCGTTGGCGTGTGTATCTGCGGCGATGTGGACGGGGGACTAGTGCCCCATGCCTCCGTCGGTGTGGATGCATGGGCCGGCTCTGCTTGTGCTCCTTGGTCTTCGCTTTTTGCTGCTTCCGTGGGTGGCACTCCATTGCTTGATGCGGGCCAACAAAAACTAGCACCCGTCGTGTATAGAAGTAAGCGGCGGTTAGAACATTCTTCTCAGATACATGCATCACACACTCTTACTAAACAAACACAGGGACACTTACGGATCGTTCTGGGCTGCGTGTGGCGGGTCCTTTTCCGGGCTTGCGTTGGGAGCCCGGCGATGGGTGAAGCCGGACGATGAGGCCCAGGTAAGTCTGGGTAACCACATCTGATATGGCTGTACGCCTCATAAACAAAAAAGACGTGGTGGGCCGACTAACCTAGGCTTACTATATAATAATTTTAAAGAGTCATTTCACACAACCCCGGCACTCCCTTCCACCCCCTCAGCATCCTCTAACTAAGGTTTAATTTTGAGATTTTTTACCTTATTTTGATTAAGTTCAATTTCTGTTGTTTTCACTACACTTCCCTTTACCTTCCTCAGACATCCCTAGATTTTAACAAGCCCCCTTAACATCCTGCCTAACCTTCTTAGCCACCCTTTATAATAAGGATGATTTTTATTGGTTTCAACCTTATTTCTGGTGAATTAAATTTTTGTTTACCCCCTCCACTGCCCCTTACTATTATATAACCAAATAACTGAATAACCCAATAATCCTCCATTTTTTTAAATACTTTTAGCCACCTTTTAGCTGCATCTTTAAATGAAGCACAAGTATGTGACTAATCATGTCATATTCAGCTAATCTACTTTTTTTAGCCTCCCTTTTGAGCTTTTCTTTGACTCTTCAAGAAAACGACCTCAGCCTCTTCAATCTACGAGTCTACGAGTTCCGCCCTTCACTTGTAGAAGTTCAAAAGTAACACGGTTTTTTTTGTTACTACTGCCAATTCACATGTTTCCTTGCCGTCAAAATTAGTTAATATTTAAGTAATTTTCTTATTAGATTTGGGATTTTAAAATAAGAATGATTGTGAAAAGTACTTTTTCATAAAATTTATCTTCTCGAGAATCTGTAATTAGTAACTTCTCATTTTGTCTGTACTAATCAGACTACGGCGATAATAATGATTATTATAATCGTTTCTTGCCACATACTGAAGTTTGCTCTGATGTATGCATAGGTGTTGGATAGTACTCAGCCGAATTTGTTTTCCTTTCTTACTAGTGCTCCTTCAGCTCTTTTGTATTTGGTGTCTACTTTAGTACCAGTTACCAATATCTTGTCAGTGTTAACTGTCTTATGATTGCCTTCATAAATTGCCTAGACATCTGTTTTTTAGCTTTTTTGTCGACCTTTGCGCTTACGATGAAGGTTGACTTTTACAACACTAACTAACTATTTTATTTTTTGAGCACTGTTTTTCCTGTTCAAGACATTTTACGAAATTTTATAAGAAAAAAAAAAATGATTCATCCTCATCCTGCACACCAGCCGTCACGTTGATTTTCTATTAAGGCAACAATGAAGGAGCGAATCGTAAGGATTCTGCTAATAAAGATACTTTGTTAGTACTATTTGTCTGTAAGGGGAGTAGCGCACGTCCTATCTCTTGGCTCTAAAAAATATTTCTCTCCAACCGTAACTGCAACAGAACTACAAGCATTATTGGTGGCGTAACAACGACATTACTTGTGTTACGCATATCGTATGTGACATTAATTGAAATTTCGAGCTATTGTTCTTCTCATACTCATAAACATAACACTGAAAAATTAATGAAATTCACGTATTTGGAGTAACAATTTCTGAAAAAAAATCCTAAATAATTCATGAATTTATGCAATCAAAAAATCATGTTCCCATCTTGCATCTCCTTTCCCTTTCCGAAACAAGGTAAAATTATTTTCATTTCAGTGATGAATTAACGCAATAAAATATTTAATATCTATCCCTTAGCCCCTCTTGCTGCCCCACATTTTGTTTTTGCAGCTGCTTGCCCCCCCCCCTTCATTCTCCTACTAAGGTTTTCTTATGCCCTCTTAGCCCCTTCGCTGTCCTTAAATTTGTTATTACGCCTTCTCGCTCCTCTCATTGCCTTTCTACGCTCTTCTNATTCTTTTTTAAGCTCTAATTATTTAAAAACTCAAGTAATAACAAATTTTTTTTTTTCAGGAATGTGTAAGGCAGAAAGCACTTTCATCTGTATTATCTATTAAAAATATATCTAAAGCAGAAGCCTTGCAAATAATAGATCTTGTATTCCAAAAATGCTATTTTGATCTAGAACCAATTGGTAGGCGTTGTCGGAGAAATTCAATAGATATGAATCTTGCGTTTCTAGAAGCACCACTTTATGGCTACGATTATTAGAGGAGACGCATGAATGCATATCAAATTGTAACTAAATTTAGTTGAAATTGAACTTGAAAATCAATGTATGAAAAATAAATACTTGAAGCTTTTTTCCTTGTATCGTCCTCAACACAAAGTTTTAAATAAGTTAAATAATATTAATATGCTATTTTTTACAGCCATTTATGAGAATAATGTCCAATAAGCTCTATGGCAATAATATAGTTATTGCCATAGTGACACAGTAAAAAATAGCTTTAGATTTGATTGTGATATCAATCACTCACACAGCCAAAGGGAGCTTTACTTTATGTGGCTATCAAACCATCGATCCACAGTTGTAATACACACATGAGAAAATAGATTCTTAGAGGTGTGGGCCAAGTAAAGGCCAAGTAAAGGCCAAGCAAAGGCCGAGACTCAAATCTAATGAAGCTGCGTTAACAGGCACGCTGAACTACGAGAACTGCAGCCTTAACTACTGTACTATTGAAGCTAAATAATCCAACAACCCCTATTATATGAGCTTACAACTCTTTAAATTTCAAAACGGTATTTTTGGAATCAATATGCTTTTGTTTATAAGTCTGTGCCCCTTACGTGTTTAACGTAACAATCCTCCGGCCACAGTTAAGTTACAATATCACTTGATATTTACATATTTAAACAAATTTTTTAATAAACCAGTATTTGTATCATTCTCATAAAAACAAGTAGGAACATTAATTATTAGTTACACAGTTATATTATTTATCAGTAAGAAAATATTCAACTTGATGTAAGTAAAATTTTTTTAATTTAAAAGAAAAATATTTTACACTCCTTGCTCACAAAACGTTAAAATTTTTTTTATGAATGCTCCTAGAGAATAGGAAAAAAGTTACTCATGTAAAACGTCAACTTATAATTTTATTTTTCAACGTAAGAAATTTGGTTTAATAGCTTGGACTTGTATATTGTCAGTATAAATTCCAAAAGGTATGTCAAGTCATAGGACTTGTATACTCTACAAAAAAAAAAAAAAAATAAGCCATATATCTATACTTATACTTATACTTATATATACTACTACTAATACTACTTCCGGGTGGAGTTTTTCGCTAGTTTCTCCATACCGGGCGCTTCCCTGGGTGGCGGATAGGGGCATCCTCTTAAAATATGAGGTGACGATGGGCAGCTGGGGTGGCTCTCTGTGGTGGTGGTCAGGGGCATGGATCGGAAGAAGTGTGTGGCGTTGGCGTGTGTATCTGCGGCGATATGGATGGGAGACTAGTGCCCCATGTCTCCATCGGTGTGGATGCATGGGCCGGCTCTGATTGTGCTCCTTGTTCTTCGCTTTTTGCTGCTTCAGTGGGTGGCACTCCATTGCTTGGTGCGGGCCAACAAAAACTAGCACCCGTCGTGTATAGAAGTAAGCAGCGGTTAAAACATTCTTCTCAGATACATGCATCACACTCTCCCTAAACGAACACGGGGACACTTACGGATTGTTCTGGGTTGCGTGTGGCGGGTCCTTTTCCGGGCTTGCGTTGGGGGCCCGGCAACGGGTGAAGCCGGATGATGAGGCCTGGGTAAGTCTGGGTAACCACATCTGATATGGCTGTACGCCTCATAAACAAAAAAGACGTGGTGGGCTGATTAATTTAGGCTTTTTTCCACTGAGGAGGCTATATGGCGGCACCTTAGTGCCTTACGCCAGCCCATTTTGTTGGGTTGTCTGCGCGGTCGTGGGACTGTACACCTGCCGCTCGTCTCGCTGGGATGACCGTTGTGTACCAACATATACATACATTATACACTATCACCCTTCTTACACTTGTTACTCAACGCCAGGGCAGTCTCCGCGGGTGGGACTGAGGGAGAGTGGCGACTCCCGGCCGGCCCGAGCAAGTAGCGGTTCTCTTTGGTTACAGAGAGGGCTGCTGCCCTGGTTTTAACCCTTTCCAAATACTTATTTCTTAAAAAAAAGGGTAGTGCTGGCCTTCGCGGGTCAGTACGCCATTAAAAAAGATGCGGAAATGAAAAACGTCGATGCAAAACTTGTACCCCAGGCGGTAACCTCTCTGAGGGAATCCGCCGGCAGTTCCGATCCAGTGAAAGCCCGCGTGACTGTCGCAGGCCCAACGGATTCTGGGGGGGGGGGGCACAAAGACCTGTCTCATGGCTATCAGGGACTGCTCAATGTTCCATGGCCCTTTCTAACGGACAAAGGACGAAGAGGAAGTCTGTCGAGAATAGGCACCAACGACATCGAGGACAGCAACGTGTCAGTATTTAGCCATCAGACGCAGGGGGAGCATGCCTCTTTAGAAGAAAGTGGTGCTAAGCTCAGAGTAAAGCGACAGCAAGTGGCTGATAAAGTCGAATCAGCAACAAAAGATATTACAGAGACGCTACAATTAATCAACGATAAGTACGGCAACACAGCGAATGCTGTTAAGAATGGGCTCAAAGCCACGCTTAAACACGTTCAAGAGCAGAGGTGCTAAGAAAAGGCTTTCTTCATGAAGAAGAAGTGTGTGCAAACGCTTGGAAGTTGTCGTTTCAATCCCTGCAGTGGACGGAACAAAGGCGAGATAATTTCCGACGGCATGTACAGAAAAGAACCCTGAACACTGCCCTAGAGGAAATAGAACGAAGTAAAAAAAACAGGAGCCCATCGGACAGCCCTGAGAAACACCAGCAAACCATGCCTCCAAAGAAAAAAAAACAGGCAGTGGCAAACAAGAAGAAATTCTCCTGAACGAAAAAACATGCCAGAAGAAAAAAGTGGATGCGACAACAACAGTAGTTATGAAGATGGCCGAAGGGCAAACCTTTGCAAAGTCGCTGAGGACGATGAAGGCAAACTTTGACCCTGATAAGGCTAATGTGGCAATCCAAAGTGTTGTCACTACAAAAGAAGAAGACATACTTATTAAGGCCAAAGTTGTAGAGAATGCTACTGCATTCTCACAGCAAATTGAAAAGTCGGTAGCCAGACAAGGTACTGTCAAAATGAGCAATAAAAAAGTGACATTAGAGGTCCGAGACCTGGATGCCATTGTAGAGGAAGATAAGGTCAAAGAGGCTTTTTCTAGGACTTTTGGACTTAAGAGCCAGGAGCCAGAAGTAGCTCTTTTAAAACCAAATGCCAGAGGACAGAGGCTGGCTTTAATAAAGGTGGACGAAGCATCTGCCAGACAAGTAGAAAAGGAAGACAGGTTACGAGTTGGCTTCGTAAGCTGCCGAATACGAAGAAGAATTGAAGTACCAAGATGATACAAATGCCTGGGATATGGACTCGTCTCAGGCAACTGTAGAGAAGTAAACAGATCAAAGCTTTGTTTCCGGTTGTGGAAGCTCAAACCACCGAAAGAAAGAGTGTCTAGGCCCAGCATGGTGCTTTCTTTGCCCAACGACGGACAATAAGCACGAAGCAGGCAGTGAGAGCTAGCCTTTATTTAGAACAGCACTACAAGAGGCCAGGGAAAAGCCCAATCAGGACGAAAATAAGGCAAAGGGGCCTTGAGTTGGAAGGCAGGCTAATGTGGACCCACGCTGCTCTGTATACTTTTACCTATCAACAAGGAAAAGCATCAAGATTATAGCGGTGCTTTTTAAGTCACCGACCTACTATGGAGCGCTAGACAGTGTGCTGGTTCTCAGGAACCCCGAGTCCTTTCCAGGACGCGAGAGGATTGGCACCTCTAGCAAATGGTGGCGAGTTAACTCGTTAATGCTGTGAGACGCAATGGCCGCCCTGGTGGCTCCACCTTGAAGTAATTCTAACGCAGTTCCGGGGTGGATCAAAAGCCACGTGGCATGGGATGGGGGTTTAGTGGGCATGGGTGGTCTAATAAAAAAAATCCACTGAGTCCCACACTACCGCTGTCCCTGTAGTGAGCCTCAATGCATTTTCCCTCCTTCGAAAAAAAAAAAAAAAAAAAAAAAAAAAAGAAAAAACTACTGCTACTACTTCTACTACATCCTGCGGGATTTTCACTAGTTTCTCCCTACCGTGGCGGATAGGGAGGTTCTTATGAGATTTGAGGGACAATAGGAAATTTAAATACCTGGAGCAGGTCAACAAAAACTAGCAAACTGTTGTGTATAGAAGTAAGCAGTGATTGGATCATTCTTCTGAAATACAGGCATACTCGTAAGTTGAGCAAAAAAGACGTGGTGGACCGAGTTATCTAGGCTTACTACCACTAAAGAGGCTGCATGGTAGCACTTTTAGTTTATGCTAGCTCGTTTTGATTGGTTTTCTGCTCCGTTTGTAGAATTGTTTGCCTGTTGCTTGTCGCGCTAGGGCACTTGTAGTTTGTCTAAAAAAACATTCACTGCACATAATTTCTACTTTTACATGTTGTACACAACGCCAGGACAGTCTTCGCGTGCTAGCATGGGTGGCTGCTGCGCCGCAGGCCCCACAGATTTTCGGGAGAGGGGAAAAAAGACGTATCTCACGGCCAACAGTAATTTTTGAATGTCCCATGGACTTTTTTAGATAAAGCACGGTGAACGAGCCTCGAACAAGAGTATTGGCAGTAACATCAGTGAGGAAAGCCATTTACTTTACTGTTTTTAGCAATAAGATGCAAGAAAAGCTTGCCTGTATCAGAAGGGAGAACGTAGACCTAAGAGCGAAGCGGAACTAGGAGATTGGATAAGTTTGGTCTGCAATTAGAGAAATTCAAAAGATGCTCGAAGCAATTAACGAAAAGTATAGCATTCAGTAGCACTTGCAAAGAATGCAGCCTACAAGGGAGCGCTAGACACGAGTGCTGATCCTCAGGAACCTCGAATCGATTTCAGGACTCAAGAGGGTTAGCACCTCTAGGAACTAGAGGCAAGTTTGCTCGCTAATCCTGTAAAATACGATGATCTTTTTGGTCGCTTCAATCTGAAAAAATGCTAACGCGGTTCCAGAGGACAACTTAAACCACGCGGCATGGAGGGAGTGAGTGGGTATTGGTCGTCTAATAAAAAAAATCCACTGAGTCCTACACTGCCACTGTCCCTGTGGTGTTTATCAAGGCATTTTTCCTCCCTACACAAAAAAACTCCTATTAAT